TCCAGTCTTGTAGATCAGGTCCTGCCTTACTAACACAACTGCTACCCATCGTCCCTCATTAACATCATAGAGGCAGGTTTACAACATACAGGAAAATCACACAGTACCAGGAATCATGGCCTAGCCAAATTCATACACACATTTTTGGGGGGACATAATTCAAACCATGACATGATCCAATTTAATTTTAGGTCTGCCCTTGTTGTTAGATGTTGTCAAGTTGGCTCCAACTCATTGACACCCCACGTACAACAGAACAGAATGTTGTCCAGTCCTGTATCATCTTCCAGATTGTTGGTATGCTCAAGTTCATTGTTATGGCCACTGTATATTTTGAGTGCCTTCCAACCTAGGGGGCTCATCTTCCACCACTATATCAGACAACGTCCTATTGTGATCCATAAGGTTTTCCTCTCATTGGTCAATTTTTGGAAGTAGATCACCAAGGTTTCCTTCATAGTCTGTCTTAATCTGGTTTTAGCACACTGTTAACATATAGGGAGATACTTAAGGAAGTAATAGTCTCTATTTTTACTTGGGCTATCTCCTCGCCTAGGAATATAAAAGGGTTTGATCTCTGAGGGTAGGGTTTCAAATCTTACTGAGGTCTGTGGAGACACAGGGGTATCCACGAGTGGGGATGGTTGGAGGAAGGCAGGGTGGGCAAGGCACCAGGCCCCTTACCCAGACTGCCTCAGCCAGGGAAGCTCCTCTTCTAGTTTATCTATATTTTGATTCTAAATGAACTCTTGTTTAGAAAAAAAAAAGACACATCATTCAAAAAGTGCAAGTTCAATTCTACATCATGTACCCTTTAGCTAAATATATTCTAGCCATGTTTAAGAACAAAAGCCAACAACAATCCTCTCCTCATCCCCAAAACACCTACCTGCCACCCAAAAAGTTACAGTGGGGGCTAAAATGAGTTTTTGATAACACTCAAATATTAGAAAAAAATTTATGTAGTGTCATACAGAAATAGCACATTTTTATTTCCTCATTAATTTTTGTATCAAGGAAAAAAAAAAAACTACCACCAGAAGTTGTAATCTGAGGACACTAAATTTGGTCATGCCATAAACTTCATGCAGTATTAAAAGAAAAAGTGAAAAGTTATTCATCTCACAGGAACTAGGGATTATATTCTGGTTAAACCAAAACCAAACCCATTGCTGTAAGTTGATTCTGACTCATAGTGACCCTACAGGACAG